AACGGGACTGTTGGAAAAGGAAGATATTTTCTGGAAGCGTTAACGTAGTTTACATTAAAATAGATTTTTATAATCTACTTCGTGTAAATCTGTCTCAAGATCAGCTGTTTCTAAAATAGTCAGCCACTAGGTAAAAACCAGTCACGAACTTTGTAATAACACTTATAGGAAAAATCTTGCTGAACTCCTAGTATTGTGGATTAGATATAATATGTGAGTTGACGTTCCCTGATGGCATCACTTAATCTGTGATTGGGTGGCATTTTATGGATTGTTAGTTGAATGTGACCTTTGCCGTGAGGTTGATCTTACCATTGATGAATTCCCAATTTCGGTTTTTCTGTACATCTAATGAATTTTTGTGTAATTGCTTCACTTTTCCTTTTCTGGGGGAAGGGACTTTTTGGCTGTTCTGGAACTTGCTCTGTAGACCAGGCTGCCCCTCTGCCTCACACTCAATGTAGCTCAGCCTAACTCTTGCTTCTTGGGTGCTGGGTTTATTTTATTTGTTCATCTTGGTGTTTGAAGACACAGGCCCTCTAAGTAGACGAGGCTGGCCTTGAACTCACAGAAATCAACCTGCCTCTCCAGGATTAAGTCCTGGGATTAAAGGTGTGTGTCGCTGCCACCTGGCTTTGGAGTCTTCATTTTAAAGTTGCCCTTATTCTCAAGGAATATGAAAGTCTTCCTTGTTTCTTTTTTTATTGATTTCATATTCACTATGTAGCCCCTGGCTGGTCTGGAAACTATTGTATAGTAGGCTGACCTCAAATTCAGAGTTTCTCTGTCTCTGCTCCCTTGATTGTTGGTATTAAAGACATGGACTATCATTTCTGGCTTTCTGTTTTTGTTTTGGAATTCATTAGATGGAATATTCATTCATAGGATGCTCCACTCTCCTATGCTCGTTTCCCGTAGCTTCGAAGTTGGTGGGATCTACACAACTGCCACAGGCTTGACAGATGTTTTTGTTGGCATCAGGGTCGTTTTTTGTTCCGTGTTTTGTACCTTAATGTTGACTAGGTATTGTAACAGAGATTTTGATGATGAGAAGATCCTTATACAGCACCAAAAAGCAAAGCATTTTAAATGTCATATATGCCACAAGAAATTGTACACAGGACCTGGATTAGCTATTCATTGCATGCAGGTAAGAATTTCTTCTGGATTTAGTTTTTGTTATCTTGTGATTTGTAACCACATGAGGAAGATTCTTGAATTTTTCTATGGAAACTGTATCTTTATCATTTATCACACTAAATAAGTTTCAGTCAAATCTGTTTAAAAAATTTTGTTTTCTGTTTCTTTTGAACGGTGGTAATAAGAGATTCCATGTGTTAAGTGCAAAGCTCTGTCATTTTAACTACCTACCTGTTATTTTGCCATTAATATAATTGGATTTTTTTCCCCCCAGATAGGATTTGTTTATCTGTGGGACAGCCCTGGCTGTTGGCTGTCCTGGAACTCAGGCTGCAAACCAGGCTGGCCTTGGACTAGGAAAGATCCACTTACCTTGCCTCTGCCTGGGTTTAAAGGTGTACGCCACCACTGCCCAGCTGATAATTAATTGGACTTTACTATTTACTATTTCTTTGCGATGTTAATTTCTTGGGCTATCTAAAATGAACCATTATATTCTACTTGGAAGCTTGGTTTTGTATAATGTCCAGATTTCATGAGTGAGTTTTTTGTTGTTTTATTAAGGTTATGTTTTATTAAGTCTGGACTTGTGCTCTTAGTGTGAGTACTTGAAAAAGTAGAGCTGTATTTTCAGGCAGCTGTGAGCTACTATTAAGATATCAAAAATTGAAATTGAGTCCTCTAGAGGGTCAGTAAGCACTAGGTTCTGAGTTCTCAAACTCCTCTTGAGTTATTTCACAATGGAATAATGAAATCTTAGGAATTTGTAAGTTTATATAAAGACTGGAGTTGTAGTTTAATGGTAGATCTTTTGCCTAGTATACTTGAGACCCTGGATGCTACAAAAAGGTCATTTTTTTTTTTTTAAAGCAGTTTGGTGGTGGTGCACACTGTTTATCCAGCATTTGGGAGATAGTTCAAGGCCAGCCTGGTATACAAGAGCTAGCTCCAGGACAGGCACCAAAAACTACAGAGAAATCCTGTCTTGAAAATCAAAGTTTCAGAGAAAACTGTCTTGAAAAGCCAAACAAAACAGAAAAACCAAAAAAAAAGATTCTTTTTTTTCTTTTTTTTTTTTTTTTTGGTTTTTCGAGACAGGGTTTCTCTGTGGCTTTGGAGCCTGTCCTGGCACTAGCTCTGTAGACCAGGCTGGTCTCTCTGCCTGCCTCTGCCTCACGAGTGCTGGGATTAAAGGTGTGCGCCACCACTGCCCGGCTCTTTGTGCATTATTGCAGTAATCATTTAGATAATCATTTTTATGCTTAATTTATTTAAAGACAATTTTTGATATTGTGTGTGTGTGTGAGAGAGAGAGATGTACTGTCAGTACAGTTGGCCTTGGAACAGAAGAGGGTGTCATCCCCCTATTACAGATAGTGGTGAGCCTTTAGAAGTAGGTACTGCAAACCAGTGTCTGGTCCTATACAAGAACAGTATATGTCCTTAACCATTGGACCAGTTCAAGCCTCATTCATTAATTTTCTGTGTTTGTTCACTTGGAATGACTAGGAGTCTGGTCCTTTGCTTCTTTGAGACAGTGTTTTTCTGTAACATCACTGGCTGTTCTGGAACTCACAGATCTGCCTCTGTCTCCTGAGTGCTGGGTTTAAAGGTTTGCACCACTACCACCTGGCTTAGGCGTTTGACTCTTAAATCATGTAGGTTCCAGGGATTGAACTCAGATAGATTGTCAAACACCTTTATCTGTGGAGCCATGTCCTTTGCCCATATTTGTTCTTAAAATATTTGAGAATGCTTTGCTTGCTGTTACAGTCTTGTAATTAATAGTACTTTTAGAATCTTAAGGAAATGGCTCTTGAATTTCAGAGCTGGGCTATAGTGAAACTTCGTTTAAAAAGCCAAAAACAAAGACCATCATTTTAGAGCCTCCCTATCCTTTTTAGAATTGTAATAGCTTCTAGTGTCATATAGATGTTTAATGATGATTAAGTTAAAGAATAGTTATAGCCGTATTTTCTCTGCTCTGTTGCTACATGTAGCATGGGTGACTATTGTTGGGGAGAGGTAGGGAGACCATTTCCATTAGCCACAGAACATTACTGTGGAACATCATTGTAATAGACACAGCACCCATAGAGGTTAGGTTTACATTGTGGAAGAACATAACAAAGTAGTTTGTCTCGCGATAAATTACTGAGAAAATGAAAACAAGGAAAGAAGTCTTGGAAGAGGTCTGAGAAGTAAATAATATCCAAGAAATAGCAAATGAAAGACCTATGTTGGAGAATTTTTCTATATTGAATGAAAGGGCAGTAGTATGTTAATTCTGAGTGAAAGTGATTTAAATACTGAAAGCACCCTTTTAAGGTTTGTGTGTACCTGTAGCACTATAATGGCCTTCTAACCCCAAGCCTTTCACATCCTAGGTTTCCATTTCACATGTTCTACCACTACTGAGCACCAGATTTGGCCATTCTGCCTGGAGAGTTGGAAATAGGCTGGAGTACAGGGAGAACAGTTGTTAGACTTAGAGGGTTAAAGGAAAGAGGCAGGTCTGCAGAACAGACGCTGCTGGTGGTTTGATGTGAAGTCAAAGAAAAAGTGAAATAATTCTCTGTGAGAAAAATTGCTTCAGGGAGTCTGGTATGGATTAGTGGGTAATGGTGCTTGCATTCTGAACTGAAACCTGAATGTGTTTCCCTGATACTCACATGGTAGGAAAGAATCAATTCAAAAAAGTTACACTCTGACATGCACATGTATGACATGTTGTTGCATAACCCCCAAGATAGAAAGATAATAAAAAGGAAGATAATAGTTTTTTTTAAAGCTCTAGAAGTTACTTGCTATAGGTGTTGTAAATTCAGCCTTAGAAGTCAAGTGACAGGTTTTTTAACACCATTGAAAGCCATAGGTGGTAAAAGGACTTAAATATAGAAAGTCTTAAGTTAGATCTATTAGTTTTTACTAAGTGGTCTTTTGAGTAATTTCTAGTTGAAAAAAAAAAAGACTTTCATGAATTACTTTTAGAAAAAGTTTTTGCTTTATCTAATAGTTTAGTTTTGTTTTTGTTGTTTCAGGTGCATAAAGAAACCATAGATGCTGTACCAAATGCAATACCCGGGAGAACAGATATAGAGTTGGAAATATATGGCATGGAAGGTATTCCAGAGAAAGATATGGATGAAAGACGGCGACTTCTTGAACAGAAAACACAGGGTAAAGTTTGCAGTTTGTTAAAATATCTTCATATTGAGAGTTGGCTATTTTCAACCATAAGTTTATATTTTATTTAAACTTACAGTTAAGTATTTTTATTTACATTTCATTATTGTGTGTGTTGGGGTGTATGTGTTATGGCACATGTGTGGAAGATAAGAGGGCAGTTTTGTTCTGAGCCATGAACACACTAGCTACTATTTCACTGAGTAGATATAACAGCTGTGCCCCACTGCACTCAGCTCCTAATTCTAATATTTCCTATGTATTTGGGTGATTTACCTGCACATATATCTGTGTTCCATTGTGTTTGGTGCTGACAAAGGCCAGAAGAGGGTGTCTGATTCCCAGAAATTTGAGTTAACATGTGACTGAGCTGCCTTGCTTGTATGCTGGGAATTGAACCTGAACCCTCCAATTCTAATCTTCAGTGATGTTTTCTTGTGTTCTATGTTTATTAGTGTCATTTGTCTTGGAATTTCAAGCTGTGTATTGTGCACATGATAGGAAATGTTACCAATCTGATTTTGAAATTTTTAACTTTTCTTGAAGATTTATTATGGTTACAGTGTTTTGCCTGCATGTATGCCTGCATGCGAGAAGATGACTCCAGATCTCCTTATAGATGGTTGTGAGCCATCGTATGGTTGCTGGAATTGAACTCAGGACCTTTGGCAGAGCAGTCAGGGCTTTTGGACTCTTGAGTTATTTCTCCAGCCCAGATGCTCGCTCTTGTGATACCATCTGAAGATATCCAGTCTTCTCCCACCCCCATTTTTGAAGATTTTAAGTTACTGTATGTGCATGAATGAATGTTTTCTTTTAAATATTTATTATATATACACTTTCCAGGATACAGTTCCAGATCTCATTACAGATGGTTGTCAGCCACCATGTGGTTGCTGGGAATTGAACTCAGGACCTCTGGAAGAGCAGCTAGTGCTCTTAACCTCTGAGCCATCTCTCCAGCCCCCATGAATGAATGTTTTGTCTGCATGTATGTCTGTATCATTTGGGTACCCAGTGCCTAAGAGGGCCAGAAAGAGGGTATTGCATCCTCTGAAACTGGAGTTGGTTCCAAGATCCTCTGTCAGAGTGCTGGGATTAAAGTCATAATATTATTTTAAAAATTTTCTGAGTTGTTGAGGTTATTTTTTTCTCTTTTATCAGTGGAATGAATTAAAACCTTTTCTTAACAGAGAGTCAAAAAAAAAAGCAACAAGATGATTCTGATGAATATGATGATGATGAATCTGCAGCCTCAACTTCCTTTCAGCCGCAGCCTGTTCAACCTCAGCAAGGTTATATCCCACCGATGGCCCAGCCAGGACTTCCACCAGTTCCAGGGGCACCAGGAATGCCTCCAGGTAATAGATTCCTTGAAAATTCATAATGAGGACCCAATTTGTATGATGCAAATGTTACTTCCTCTTGTTTAATATCCAATACTAATTTTGTTGCTGAAACACTTTGTAGGCATACCTCCATTGATGCCAGGTGTTCCTCCCCTGATGCCTGGCATGCCTCCAGTTATGCCAGGCATGCCACCTGGGTAAGCAGACTTCCTGTTGGTTTGTGGGCTTCTTCCATTTTTGACTTAAATATTATAAATTAAATGTTACTTTTCAGTTTTTAGGTTTTTTTGTTTTAGTTTTTTATTTATAAGAAATGGGTTCTAAATTTTAAACTTTCTAATAAGGGGTCAGTAAGTATGAGACAAATATGTTTGTTTCTGAAATTAGATTTTTGGGTTTGAGCATGAATACAGGAAACCATCTGCTTCAGTTGCGTTTTCTGTAGTTAAAGTTGTTATAGATTTGAGTGTCTTAGTTTTGGAACTATCAAGGATGCTCTGTAGTGGTGAGAAGGAAACTGTAAATGATTTACAAAAGCATCAGAAACTAAAATGAGTTGAAGTTTGTGTTGCCCATCACTTTTACTTAAAGTTGGATGTGAGAGGTGTACAATACACTTTCCCGGTGTGTTCTGAAAATCACAGTTAGATTTTGATTTTGTCATACATTTTCACAGATTGCATCATCAGAGAAAATACACCCAGTCATTTTGCGGTGAAAACATGTAAGCATCTCATTCATAATGTAATTCAGGAGGTATAATATAATCATAATGTCATTTGTGTGTGTGTTTAATGATATCTATTCAGTTGACTTAAGAAATTTTCTAATCTTCCTCACTAAAACTGTTTTAAGTTTGTCAGCTAATTGACACATCTTTTTAAAGTAGAAATTCGAAACATTTCAGAACAAATAGACACAATAAAATAATTCTTGTCCCAGACGTGCATTAATCTCAAAACTTGGGGAGGCAGAGGCAGGCATATCCCAAATTTGAGTATGAGACCATCCTGGGCCACATAGTGGCTGGCCTTGGCTACATAAATTCTGTCTCAAAAAAGGAAAAACATTCCTTTCCAAATGTGCAGATGCTTTCTCTAGGTATTACTAGATAGTCAGGCCTAATATAGAAGGTAATACTTAGAAATCTATAGTTTGCCATTGTGCTTTATTATAGAAGGTATTCGGATTTTCAGCTAATTAGAATTTATATATAGAAGTTAAATTTCTGATTAAAAAGCATAGCTTGGTGTAACATGCACAAGGTACTGGGTTTTATCCCCAACACCAAAAAACCAAAACAGACCACAAATCAAGTACATATACTTGTTTTGAAGTAAATGGACACTGGTTGATCTTGAAAGGTGAGCTTTGTCTTGTTTTTTTTTTTTTTTTTTTTTAAAGGGGGAAACTATAAATATGGGTGATATTTTTCAGTCATGGTTTTTAGTGTTAGGAAGGAAATTTTTATATAATCTGAGTTTCTATAGGTTAATGTTGGTGATGATTTTTCCTTGTCCCTCCAAGACACAAGTTTTTACTCCACAGTGAACAACTCAATAGAAATGTCTATGTTCTGTGTGCATATTTTTCAAGAGGAACAAAAGCTTAACACATTTGTTAGATGGGTCCTCCTGTATATATTCTCAAGAATATTTTTGGATCTCAGAGACGTTTGGCTAGTGTTTTTTTTTTGTTTTGTTTTTAATCCTCTTTTATTGGTAAACTGAAGAGTTTGTTGGTTTTTAGAATGTTTATTACGACAGAATTAGTGTATATGGTAGAGGCTTGAGGCTTGATTGACTTCAGTACTTGAGATAACTCAAGTTTTATTTAGTGTTTTGTAATTGCCAAATTTTTGTGGTTTATTCTGTTAATGGTTTTTTGTTTCTATTTTTTTTTCTTAAATTTTTTTCTTTTAATAGAATGATGCCAATGGGTGGAATGATGCCACCTGGACCTGGAATTCCACCTCTGATGCCTGGTATGCCACCAGGTATGAAATGTTAAAACAATTTCCTTTGTAATATGTCTGGTAGCATTATTTGTATAGGTTTCTAATTATCTTACATGTTGAAAGAAGTCTAATTGGCATGGTTGTGATTACATACAGCCTGAACCCTGTCACTTTAATCCTAACAGACATTGGCAGATTTCTTGAGTTGCAGACTAGCATATACATAGTTACACCAGGTCATCTGGGGTGGTGGTTGTAGTGCTCACTTTTAATCCTAACACTCAGGGTGCATAGGCCAGTATGGTCTACATACTGAGATCTAGGACAACTTGGACAATATAGAGAAACTGGCTTAAAAAATCCAAATCAATCAATCAATAAGTAAATGGATAAATAGGTAAATAAAAAGGTTGACTAAAACGGTGATTCCAGCCTGGTCTGCAGACTTAGTTCTTGGACAACTTGGACAATAATAGAGAAACTGTCTTGAAAAACCAAATAAATAAAAGGGTTGGCTGAAACAGTGATACCAGTAAAGGTTATGGTTGATCTAAAGAGACAAGAGGTATGATTGGTGCGAAGAGTATGTTTGTCTTTGGGTCATTTCATTGACTGAAATTACTTACAAACTTTTTTATGCTGCAGGTATGCCCCCTCCTGTTCCACGTCCTGGAATTCCTCCAATGACTCAAGCACAGGCTGTTTCAGCACCAGGTATTCTTAATAGACCACCTGCACCAACAGCAGCAGTACCTGCTCCACAGCCTCCAGTAACTAAACCTCTTTTCCCCAGTGCAGGACAGGTAAGGCGAAATTCTTAAAAAGGAGCGCATTTATGTTTAAAGATAAAGTGAACTTGTTTACTGGGATGTGTAAAGTTGTCACAGATAGATTTCTTAAATATACCACACACTAAAATGGCTATCATCACGTTGATTTCCTCTGTTCACAGCAGAAAGGAATATGATGTTAGTTTTTCACATTTGCATATTCTTTATTCTTAGCTATAGCTAGAAAGTAAAGTTGCATTTCTGAGGACTTAAATGATGTTTCCAGGTCCTCCTTTGCCTTGTTGAAGGGAGTGAAACTTGGTCAGAGCCAGTGATGAAATATCTTAAAAGATATGAGCAGGCCTGGCAGTGGTAGAGCACATCTTTAATCCTAGTACACTTGGAGGTGTAGACAGGCAACAGAGGCAAGGAGATCTTTGAGTGCAATGCCAGCCTTGTTTACACAGAAAGTTCCAGGACAGTCAGGGCTATACAGAAAATTTTAATTTGATTGGGTGTTTCTGCTCATTTAAAAAGAACCATGGTAAATCGTAGTGCTGCTCTTGTGTTGGAAGCACATCTTTTAATGGCTTTTAATTTAGTCATATTTCTTAGTCTTGCTTCCATCAAAACTTCCAGAATACGAGTAGGCTAGATGCATAATGGTCGGATTTTTTGTGCTTTTCATTTAGAATTAAATAGAAGGATCAAGTTGGTTTTTTTTTTTTTAAAGATTATTACTAAGATGTTTCCTCAATTTCCCACTGTTTCTGGGTGCTAAATTTTAAGTTCTTTTAAAGCATATTAATTTACATTTTGTGGCATATATTTTATTTATGGGAATGTTTTATCTGAATCTGTAGACTCATTGTAAAGAGCTGCATAGAGAACTGGGTGCTTCATTATTTACAGTTTAGGAAAGATTATTTTTAATTGTATTGGTATAGAGATAATTTCTGAGGCATGTACTTTTACTGTTTATTGAAAATGCATTAACTCTGCCTCTTTGTATGACATTTGATTGCATTACAATCTTTATTTACAAAAAATGCAATCTATACTAAAAAGTTGCCACATGGCATATTTTGACCCATTTGTTCGGAGACGGTTCATTGTTTCCTTTCTTTTATGCTACAGATGGGGACACCTGTAACAAGCTCAAGTACAGCTTCATCCAATTCAGAAAGTCTGTCTGCATCTTCTAAAGCTCTGTTTCCTAGCACAGCACAAGTACGCAGGAAGTTGCAGTTTAAAAATTTTAAAAATGCTTTACAACTTAACCCTTTGGACCCTTTATAAAAGCTAAATCTTACAAATATACTTAGTTTTTAGAAGTAAAACAAATACTAAAATTCAGATGGTGTTTGAAAATTTGAATTCATACTTAAGACTTTCACAAAATACTCTAAACTTCTGTGGTTCTAAAGGGTTAAAAGCATGTGAGCCGCAAATGAACTTTAGTGGCCAATGGTTAGCCTGATGCATGGTTAAGCTTTTTTTAATTTATGCTGTTTAATGCATCACATCTTTAAGGAAATTAGCATCTGTATTTGGTTCTAAAGTTACCTAGACATTTAAAACATTTGTATTATGAAAGTAATGTGTATTCACGTTAACTTTAGAGCCTGAGCCATTAACCCTTTTTGTCTATACTGTAATTAATCTAGCAATTACTAATTTGGAGGGTAATGTGTTGCTATCTATAGGATACTTGTATAGGTGATAGCATTGGGTCACCATTCATTATTGGGGTTTTTTTTATGCTTACTCTAGCGGGTTATCTAGACCCATATAGTCTGTAGTTTCTATTTTTTGAGCTGCTTAAAAGATGAATTGCTTTAAACAAAGAATTTAGGAGAGTAAAATCAGTTGCATTAAATACTATTTCATTATTCTATAGCAAACTAGAATTAATGCAAAGCATTGTATATTAAGTTTATGGAGAGAAGTTATAAGACAGATCTGAGAAGAATAGTAATGTCAACCCAGTATCTTTTGATATTCTGGTTTGAACCTTTGTGGAACATATGTTTACTTGTTTTTGGTTTCATATGAAGTTTGCTCTATTTGATATTGCTGTCTTTTTTTTTTTAAGTAAATTTTCTTTTTTTTTTTTAAGTAAAATTTTTGTTTTCAACTTTGGATATTGACATGTATTGATAAAGGTTCATTATTTTACAGGCTCAGGCAGCTGTACAAGGACCTGTTGGTACAGATTTTAAGCCCTTAAACAGTACTCCAGCTACAACTACAGAACCCCCGAAGCCTACATTCCCAGCGTATACACAGTCAACAGCTTCAACCACTAGTACAACAAACAGTACTGCAGCAAAACCAGCAGCTTCAATTACAAGTAAGCCTGCTACACTTACAACCACCAGTGCAACCAGTAAGTTGATCCATCCAGATGAGGATATATCACTGGTAAGTTGTTTATAGGTTTTTTAAATAGTATTGCTTAATCATGTATCATTATAGCAACTTGTGTATTGCAGATTTTAATTTGTATTTATATGGACTTAACCAAATGGTTTTCATTTATTTGTGTCTTAAGAAACCATAAAATAGAGTCAGGTGGTTGTGGTACTATGATTCAAAACAAAAAACAAAAACTGAAGAATAATTCATATTTGATCTCAGATGCTCCTGCCCTTCTATTTCTAAAAGAAAAGACAGTAAGCTCAGTACTTTAAAAATGTTTAGACATAAATTTGCTTGCATTGATTGACAAAAGTTTCCTTTCAGTCCATGGACTCACTGAAGCCTATACAAGTTAATTTCATTTGACAGAAAGCTAATTATGAAATTAGCTAGCCATGTACTAACCTAAATATAGCTTAAAAAAAGACTTAAGGCCTTTAGATTAAGTAGTAGCACTGATTTGTGGGAGCAAAAGTAATTATTGGGGAGTACTTGTACATTTAAAATGATCGGGATTTTGTATAATTGTCTTTCTACTTGAGGAACCTTCCTGCATTCTTACATCATACATTATACATTATTTTTATTCACAGGAAGAAAGAAGGGCACAGTTACCTAAATATCAGCGTAATCTTCCTCGACCAGGACAGACTCCAATTGGTAATCCACCAGTTGGACCAATTGGGGGTATGATGCCACCGCAGCCAGGCATCCCACAGCAGCAAGGAATGCGCCCTCCAATGCCACCTCATGGTACTTTTTTACATTTCATGAATTTTAAGTATATATGAAAAGGTTAACTATCTGTAAAGTGTACTGGTTTAAAAGTATTGTACACACAAACCAACTTTATATTTTTGGGTTTTTTTTGTAGGTCAGTATGGTGGTCATCATCAAGGCATGCCAGGTTACCTCCCTGGCGCTATGCCACCTTATGGACAGGGACCACCAATGGTGCCCCCTTACCAAGGTGGGCCTCCTCGACCTCCAATGGGAATGAGACCTCCTGTTATGTCGCAAGGTGGCCGTTACTGATCTTACTTCACCAAGTCTAATAGGTTTGGAGATTAAACCTTTTCTCAACTTGTGCTGTTTATATAAACAAGCTTCCGTCTATAAGGCTTCATTGTGACTTTAACAAACATTATCTTCCCACATACCAGGAACTATTGGACATTTATTTGACATGGGAGAAATTATTTGGAATAATAAACAGGAAGTTTTCCTGAAGTTGCAATTTATACTGTATGGCTTCTTTTTCATGTTTCATCTAGGTTTTTAGAAGTGAAGTATAGTAAATTTGGTTCGTTAAATTGTGAAGGCGCTGGAATTACATGAACATACCATCTTAAATAAAGGCAAGTTCTGTAAGCTTACATTGCTATTTGTAAAGTTATGCCTTCACAGCATTTCTGATGCTGTTGGACTTCATGTCCCCAACCTAGCTTGGTGAGGGCTGTAACTGTTTCCAAGTACTTGTACATTGGAAGTCTGAATGTGTAACAATATTTAATGTATTTAGAGAGTTCCTCGTGTTGCAGGGTTTAAGAAATCTGGCCCATTGAGGTCATGTGACTTTTCTGTACTTCAAAACTTCATTGTAATAAAATGAGATAAAAATTTATGCCTTTTTATTCATAACCCAACTGTGGACCACTGACTGAAAGGTTTGTACAGATGCATGCCACAGTAGATGTCCACATAATAAAATTCAGTTACCAATACAGATTTGATAAATGATTGGGTTCTTTAAGTACAGGTTTTTTCTTAGCTGCATGTTTTAATAGTGTATAGAATTGTTTCTGTTGACAAACTCTTAAGACACATGGATCATTACATAATGGGTATGGAGTCTTTGTTCCCTTGTTTCACATCCTTTGGTATCAGATGCCACAGAAATTTAAAATGTAAAATTCAAAACTTCTTGATAAGGAAGTTTAGAGCCTAGTGCCAGACCCATTTATTTTCTTTAATTAATTTTACTTCATGGACCTCAGAAGCTTTCCAGGTGGAAACTTCTAGAAGCTTAGCTGTATGTGTACGCGTCTTTGTTAATGGTTTGATATGTGTTAATTTAAATGTGCCCCTGTTAAAGGTGTTAGGATGATTTAAGAGATGATTAGCAAATTTGTTTCATGCTTCTTAGAGGTTGTGTTACCTGGGATTGGATACGTGCCCTCTGTTAAAACCAGGCGGTTAATCCTGACCCTTGGAAATGTGGAATGTTTGTGTTCCTATAGGTAATTTTACTTTGGGGGTGACTGCTGTTGCGGATTTTGTGTTGTCTCATACTAGTAGCTCTTAATAATTCTTTTGGCTTTTTCCTTTTCCATATTTTTTTGATCTTTACAGAGTAATTATCCAAAAAAAACGAATACAAGTTGATTTGGTTTATGCTGAAAATGCTTAAGTTTTTTTAATATTTATTATTTATACAGTATTCTGTCTGCTTGTATGCCTGCAGGCCAGAAGAGGGCACCAGACCTCATTACAGATGGTTGTGAGCCACCATGTGGTTGCTGGGAATTGAACTCAGGACCTTTGGAAGAGCAGGCAATGCTCTTAAACGCTGAGCCATCTCTCCAGCCCCCAATGCTTAAGTTTTTATTAATTTCTATGAAGTATTAGATAAATGTGACAACACCAAAAATGGTGTTTATTTCGTAGGAATATATTGAAAATATTTGACTCATTACAGAAGGAAGTTAACAGGTAAAAGCCTATGGAATACATTATGACAAGTAATTGAAAGTTAAATGCCATTTTCAAGGTCGTATTTCTGCACTGATTTATTTTATGCCTCTGATGTAGTTACTGTTATGGTGCAAAAGTTAAAGTTTGTAATGGAAACGCCCATATATTACTAGAGATGCGTTATTCCGCCAGCAGCCAAGTTACATATCCTTTTGCCTAAATATCTATTGTCTAAAGCTTTAGAACCCCTTGTATATTTCTTAGATCTGGCAGCACATATTTTATACTGGTAAAGAAAGCCCTGTACTGAAAATACTGAGGTTTTAGCAGGGCAGTAGTGACACTAACCTTTAATACCAGCACTTAGGAGACAGAGGCAGGTAGATCTCTGTGAGATCGAGGCCAGCCTCATCTACAGAGCAAGTTTCAGGACAGGCTCCAAAGCTACAGAGAAACCCTGTCTTAAAAAACAAAAAGAAATACTAAGGTTTTTCAAAAAAGACAAGGTTAAGTTTAGATTAAATAAGAAATGTTTTCTTCAAAAACATCTCAGAAGAATTTCATGTATTTGATTATCAGAAAACTGAAGAAAAAACTTAAAGGATGCAAGGTTTTACTCTTGCATTTTGTTTGAATACAGCAGGGTTTATTACGGAGTCTACAAATAAATAAGTAAGGAAATCCTAATAAAAATTCAAGTGTTATGTGTAATACATAACATTTAGTTAAATATAATCTCTCCTGTGTTTTGTAACTGTATGGCGCAGGAGTGGTTCAGGATGTTGTTGAAATTTAATTTTTGCATGCATCAAGAATAATTAAGCTTCTAGAAAATACATTTTGCCTAATTGCTTCTGGGGTCCATAGTAGTGTTAAATCACAAGCGTGACTAATTTGAAACTATTTACACTTTTTAAGTAAACAATGTCATTAAAAGTGAATTTTAGCCCTTTATCACAGAAGGGCTGCTTTTAGTTATTTCGTATGTTCCTGTGAACACTGGTTAGCTGTAAAATCAATGCACCTGTCAGCTTTGGTTCTACCTTCCATTCACAGGATCATTTTAAAAAAGAAAACTGTCTGGCACTAGTTTCTATTCTGTTTTGCCACTGATAGTGGAAAGACTAACAGCTGAGGGCTCACTTTTCAGTACTGCTGGAGTTACCACTTATTTGACTCTTTACTATTGTAGCGATCTCACACGATTTGTTAGGGGGAAGAGTACCTATTTTACTGATCAGGTTACATATTAAACTCAGTTTAATGAATTACTTATGGAAATCTCCAAGAAACTAGTTTGGACTCAGGATGCAATTGTAGACACAGATGCTATTTTTTCTGTTGCTTGCTTGATCATTGGGACTTAAATTTTGATGCATGTCTTTTTAATTAATTGGGTGATGTTTTTCTAAAATTAAAATTTTCTTCTTCCTATAGCCCTGCCATAGGACAGGCTGAGGCTGAGTCTCAGTGTTGCCCTGTTCAGTCTGAGGCAAGTGGGATTTATTTTATTACTTACAGGGGCTTTCACAGCTTTATGGCTGTTGGATATTTATGTCCCCAAACTTGCAGCAAGTTTGGTGAAGGCCCCTAAATTTAATTAAATTTAGGATTTTTATATTCCTTTGGCAGAGAAGGCTCTATATTAATATTCACGTTTGACTGTGGTGTTACTAAGCATAAATAAGTATTGTTACATAATATCTAAAGCTTTATTCCCCTTCATAAATTGATTTGGAGGCATGATATGTTTAATTCAAATTTTTACTTTGACCAATAGGAAAATGCTGGTGGTTTTCTGTTCAAACTTAAATTTAACCTCGATAAGCTTAATTATTTGAAATGCCACAGGTTATTGATGTTTGTTTTAAATCCCAAGCTTATATTGATCATCAGGGTGGTAAGGTCATGTGGAAATGCTTATGATCTTTTCTCAAATCTCACCACACTAGAGCAAATGTTAATGTAGAGCCCTGAAATGAGTGGGGAGGTGATTGGTCTGTTTGTGTGGTATGTATGGGTGTAGACTACAGGTGTGGTATAATAAAAGGGTTTGGGGATTTCATGTCTTAGTGGATAGATAACTAATTTTCCAGTAGCCAAATTGAAATTGGATCGTGTGATGAGTATTAAATGGGTTTGGAATTTTTTTTTTTTTTTGGGAGTTGTCAGCTTTTACTGAACAGTGCTTTATGTAATATGCACACACCAGTAGTATATCCACATTTGTTTTCAATTAGATTTTGCTTTGATTATTGTGTTCAAACCTTGTATGTTGAGAAATGTGGGGAGGTGGTAGAATGTAACTTCTAACCTGTTTGTTCCCTGCATTAGAGTAGAAACAGTTTTTATCTTTTTTGTTGTTGTTGCTTTGTGGTTATATTGTTTTTGGTACGGGGAGAACGGGTTTCTCTGTTCAGCCCTGGCTGTCTGGAATTCTGTTTACCAGGCTGGCCGCAAACTCAATGATCTGTAAGCCCCGCATACTGGGACTAAAGACTTGCATCACCACATATGATAAGTTACTTGCTTGAATAATAAGGCTGGTGGAAAGATTTAATAGATACCTAATCTAAGATGAAGTTTGTTTGGCATAGTGGTTCACAGTTGTATTCCTAAAAGTTAGAAATTTGAGGTAGGAAGATTGGTTGTGTGAGGTCAGCTTGGGCTACAGAGTATTGACCCTGTCCTGATTGGGTTGTTATGTCCTCTGGTGTCTCCTTGTAGTTTCATGACCCAGAGCACCCAAGTTGAGAAATTATGTAGAATTTTGGGTCTCTCTGAGGCCGGTAACTTGAATAATACTGACTTCACTTTAGTAAAGTACAATTTGAGTAATCTACTGAATGTGGGATGTGTAGGACATTTGTATTGGTTAGAATTTACCAAGTATGTGCCCTTTGTTTGTTTTGTTTTTGTTTAGGCAACATTCTACCAAGTGAGTCACGTTTATCTGCCCTTCCCTCACCCCCTCCCTTTTTTTCTAAGGCAGTTTCTCTATAAAAACAGTCCTGGCTCTCAAAGGAGGTCACTGTAGACCAGGCTGGCTGGCTGGCCTTGAACTCACAGAAATCCACCTGTCTCTCCCTCCTGCTTGCTGGGATTAAAGGCTTGCACCACCACTGTCCAACCCTCTTGGATATTCTCCATAGACCACTATTATTCCGATAAATTCATAGGAGATAGAGAAAGGTCGGTTTTAAATTGCCAGTAACCTGAAGTCCAACTATTACATGTGTTTCCCTTATGTTGAACTCTAGGGGTGTTCCCAGGTGCTGGGGCTAAAGGCATGCACCACCACTGTGCACCGACTCTGAAATTTTTATTTTAAGGGCACATGTGGTAAACATGTATACTGTCCAGCATTCTGGAGGAAGAGATGAGACCAGGGTATTCCTGCAAATTGAAGGCCAGTCAGGGTTAGAGTAAGAAAGACCATGTCACACAAATTCTTGCACTATTTTTTTTTCTCCTAAATGCTGTGCATTCTCACTTTTTAATATTTGCAATTTAAAAGAATTTTTATTTAGTTTTTCATTTTTTTATTTTCAAGACAAGATTTCTCTTTTTCTCTTTGTTTTTGAGTCTGGGTCTCACTAGGTAGTTTTGGATGGCCTGGAACTCATTTTGTAGATCAGGGTGGCTTGCCTCTGCCTCCCAAGCACTGGGATTAAAGGTGTGTACCACTACTGCTCTGCTGAAAAGATAGTTAACTCCAGTCTGAACAACAGTTTAAAATTGAATTAGTTTAATTTGAATTAATTTTCTTGTAAGTCTGCTCATTTTTCATTTCCAAGGGAAAGTCTTTTTAGTAAGTAGACTACTGAAGTAGAGATACACAGCCTATGACTTAGTGTTCATTAAAGGCAATTTCAACTACTTCTATTAAGTAAAATATATTGAATACCATATAACTAAATGGACTCAGTGGGTACTAACTTTGATTAGTATCTTGAACCTGAATATGACTTATGTTTTTGTGTGTGTTGTCATTGTGAAAGAGACTGCAGAGAGGATAAATGTGTATATATTATATTGCCTTAAAGGATTACTTGGACACCAGTCATTATTTCAATGTTGCTATGATTTTTTTAAAGTTATAGGGTAGTGGCCCTTTTACATTGTTACAGTATCTGGAAACCGTGTGTGTGTGTGTGTGTGTGTGTGTGTGTGTGTGTGTGTGTGTGTGTGTTTTCTTTTGGGCTTAGGTGTTTTTTTTTTTGAATCTTACGTCTTCACCATTTGAGGGATTTAGTGATGAAATTTGTTGATTACCCTACTTGAATAAAAATGAAGATTGAGAAGCTGGAGGTAGCCCAGTGGCAGAGTGCATGTTAAGCATGCATGAAGCCCTGAATTCAATCCCCATCACCGAAAAGAAAAAGAAGAATGAAGACCTATTTCCCCAATATAATATAAACTGATGCTGACTATGTGGGACACAAATTATTGTATGGTGGGTGTAGATTTAAGAACCTTAAATGTTAGGAAAATAACTATTGTTGCTTCTTTTTGTTCCTTTGAGGTTTTACACTTTTATTTTGGTGAAGATTGATATTTTATTAAGACAATCAGTCTGCTAATCCTATGTGAAAATATCATTTCTACTATCTTTTCTAGGGTTGTTGAATTGCCTAAGCGGCTAAGAAAGTTATTAGAGTTCTTACAATTCAAATCAGAAATAGGGTATCTGTTTAGAGTTAATTTCCCCTTACTTGCTAGCTGTTTAATATCTGTGGAGAAGTAGCAAAATTTATAGCCCATTTTTTAAAATGAAAATGAGATAAAAAATTTCATGAGAATTTAATTAAAAATTAAAATTGCCTGTAAAGGTTATCACATTTAAATACTCATACTCCCTTTTAGGACAACCAAAATTTCCAGCACACTTTACACATTGAATGCATTATTGATTGAACATTAAAGCGTCTAAGAGGTACTTGAGTGTCCTTGCGAATTATCACTCAATTGCAGTAGCCAATGTAAAGCAAATTTTGTTAGATTTAGGCAAACTACTATCAGGCTCTGAGGAAATTAAATGCACATTGACTTTATAGTATGGGTTGAACTCCTCAGTTTAATACAATTTGTGTTTTTGTTAACTAGCAGCAGAATTTCAGCATTTGCTACTTACTGGTAGAGAAGAAAAATCCCACAGCCCTGCCAGTACAGGTTAGTTTATTCTGTAAGTACCTGATGTTCCTTTTTTTTTAACCCCCACCCCAACATACCCATTTTCCGCACATAAAGAAGAAAGCTGCTGTGCAGTTATTTAAATGTGAGTATAAATAATAGATCCACTGGACATTCAAACACTTGGACCAGAGTGAGTAGCTCTAGGGTTACTGACCTTAGGTGTAATAAAGGCGCAATGCTGCTCTTCAGTTTTCTGGTTGGTCCTGAACCTATATACATGCCTTTTAGATAAAAGAAGAGGGGAAATACTTAGTCCATCTAGTCCATGGCTCCAGGTCCAATGTCCTTAATTAAAGTCACCCTTTACATTCTACAGTGAAGTAGCTTAATAAAAGACAGATTTCCTCAATTCTAGCAGTGAAAAAAAATGGTATACAATTATGGGAAGTTTTACTTATTTACTTGGTATTTACTCCTACAAAGTACACTGCTTCAAATGTAATACTTGTAAATAATTTATCTCTGTACGCTATAAATTTACATTAACGTGCCACTGGGTTCATCACTGACATGAATACTCAGAAATCTGCATAGCTTTGCACACTTTTAATCCAGAACACTGCAGGCAGAGGTAGAAATGGTTTCATTTTAGGGCCAGGCTGGGCTGTGTGATGATTCCCTGGCTTAAAATAAGAGTCGGATTCTTACGTAATATTTGGAGTTTAATGAGGGAGTCATATATTTGACATTTGAACAGTGAAAGTAGAAAAAGTAAGTTGAATGGTGATTAGCTATCCTATTATTATTTTATTTGGGGACAGTACAATTTGTTTAAAATTTTAAATATAAACATCTAGCAGCCAGTAATAAAAATATTGTAAATTTTTTTCCGCTTTGTCTTTTGATTGTAAAATTGCCTGAGGGCTTAAGTTTGATTGCCTTTCACAGTTTAATCTAAGAATGGCGTAGATACAATGGAAATGGTTTTCCGTATCTGTTTAGAGCTGCCTTTCTGGTGAGTACTGCTTTATAATTTTCATATCATGGTTTGATTTTTTTTTTTTTTAGCCTAGCTGTAACGTGGCATTGATCAAAGAGGTGAGAAGCCAGAATTTTCACAGCTTGGGTTGTAATTAGATCTTTAGGCTGTTACTTCTTGATAAGGGTTTTCACTCACTCTCTCTCTCTCACACACACATATACACGTTTTTCCTGAAGGACCATATGCATGAAAAAGTTGAAAACATACTCTTTTGGTGAGAAGAAATGATTGTATTATTTAAAATTAGTAATTGAAATATAGGGACAGGAGAGATGCCTCAACAATTAAGACCATGTCATAACCTCAGGTGTGGTGTATGCCTTTAATCCTAGCACTCAAGAGGGTCAGGCAAGTGGATTTCTGGGAGTTCCAGGAAGCATGGTCTACATAGTGAGTTCAAGGATAGCACGGGCTATATAGAAAAATCTTGTCTCAAAAAGAAAAAAGAAAACCACAACATGCTGCGAGTGGACCTATGTTTGGTTCCCATTATCCATGTCAGGTGACTAAAACCACGTAGGTCCATGAGGATCTTGGACATAATGTACTCGTGTGCAGATACACATATGAATAAGAAATACAGCTTTAAATAAAGATTCCCCCACCCTCTTTTAAGTTGACATAAAAACTTGTTCAGTGATCCTTTTTTCTCACTGAATAGGTGAATGAAATAATGAAGGCATATTCTGTTCCATGCATGGAAAACTTGTGTAAAAAATATTGTTAGCATCTTTGTGAAAATTAGCCCACAATACGTTTATTCCTGTCTAGTTCAGTCATTAGCCTGTGACATAAGGATTTCTTTCCCTCATTTTTAGCCACATTCTGGATAATACTAGTATTCGTATCTACATTCCATTTCTGCTATGACCTTTGTGAATCAATAAAGTCAATTCTGTTGCTTTTAGTATAAACAATACTAGTTTTCTAAAATCTGGAATTCATGTTTTGAGTGTGTATGGTAATTCTAGATAAGATCTCAACAAATCTTGAGTCTGAATTTGTGTCTTTAAGATTTAAAGTGAAATAAATTTCTAAGGAACTCTGTCCTTTCCTAGCATGGATAAGCAGGCTGACAGTTGGTAAGTATGTAATTTCAAATGCATGTAGTGGTAAGGGTGAATTGCCAAAATATTCAAAGACAATTAGAAGTGAAGGGAAATTCCTGAATCCTTCTAGGAACTTGATATGTATATCTAACATTTTTTCCAAAAATGTGTACTCAAAATGATTAAACTAAAATGTACCTTACTCATTTGTCTGATTTGTTTTTTATTTTTTTGTTTGGTGGGTTTTGTTTGTTTTTGGTATGGTAATTTAAGTGATGCTAATTTTCTGTTCAAAACTTTCCTTAAGGTATCAATACATGACTTGAAGTTACCTTATTGAAAACTTACTTAAATGTATTCTAGCAACCCAATATTGACTTGGAGTTTTTTTAAAGCCTTCTTTTTTTTTTTTTTCCTCATTTCTATTAAAATATGGTGGCAAAGGGAGAGAACCACTGTATAATTTCTGGTACATTGTTAAAGTTTTTTATTATTTGGTGAATGCACATGCAGTTTTCCTTTGAAGCAGAAAGAGGGTTGCCTGATCTTAGAGCTGGAGCTACAGGCACTTGGAACCCACCTGATGTGTGTTCTGGGAACTGAACTGCTGAGCAATCTCCATCCCTTAGTCTGTTTCTTTATACCTTATGGGGTAGTGTTGGAATTTCGTGGGAGGAGGGGAGATTCCTGTTTTTTGTTTTTTTTTTTTAACTTTATGTATACAATATTTTGTCTGCGTGTATGCCTGCAGGCCATAAGAGGGCACCAGACCTCATTACAGATGGTTGTGAGCCACCATGTGGTTGCTGGGAATTGAACTCAGGACCTTTGGGAGTGCAGGCAATGCTCTTAAACCGCTGAACCATCTCTCTAGCCCTGAGTTTCCTGTTTTTTATGTGGATATGTAGACCCCCCCTGTTTTACAATAACAATGAGCTTTCCTGGGGTCAGAGGACAACTTCGTGTTCCTATGTGGATTCTGACCACCCCTCTGGGGATATGTTAGTAACAGAAGGTTAACAGGTTAAAGTGAAAAGTGTATAATACAATGGAGGTGATAATTTTTTCTTGAAGTAAGTCATTTCTTTACATCATTTGCTGAAAAGAAATGGGTCTGCCTGTCTCAAGTGTCAGTTTTGGGGGATATGATTGTGTGGAGGATCTTAAGGAAAGTACCAAGAGGAAGAATACATTTGCTAGTCGGTGTATGAGTAAATGGTGCATGAACAGAAATTTTGACCTATGTCATTTTTTATATAAATTCACTAAAGGTAATTATATGCTAGGCTTTAATTCACTAACACTGGAAGTTTATGATAAAATAAAAATTTTCCACACAAATAATAGTGTATGTGATACTTTCTCTCCTGGCTGAGGAGCATTAGTTTTTCTTCCCCAGCCCTAGTATGTATGTATGTATCTACACACACGAGACTGTTGGATTTACACTTAAAACTTTGTAGTTGAGCACCAGGTCATGGGCGTGCATACTTTTATCCCAAGCCCTGGGGAAGCAGAGACAGGCAATCTCTGAGTTTGAGGCCAACCATCCTGGTCTACAGCACACTTCTATTACAGTCTATAAAGTTACAGAGAAATCCTGTCTTGGAAAAAAAACACAACAGCAAAACCATTGCAGTTTAATTTTGCTTGAATGTTGTTCTCCACCAAATGAGCTACCACATCTGTCCTAGAAATTGAACACCAGCTTTGTCCTTTTTGAGAGCAAGTTTGTTAATCATCTTTCCAGCTCTGAGATCAATTTTAAATGGCCCATAGTATTCTAAACTTAGAATTATTCTTGTTCAGAACATGTGTTATTAGCACATATGCCACTTTGAAAATTTAGGTCCTGTATCATATTTTTTTCTTTAAGACTTTTAAGAAATATTCTCTAAACATGTGGCTTGCTCAGTGTTTAATTGCAAGTTTTCAGTCTCGGACTTTGAAAACAGGATTAAATGTGAAGCAGACTGAGAGGGACTCCATTTTTACACTTCTGCTATACTTAGCCTTTGGATTTAGACGTGAAAATAAAGTATCTCTGACTTTCAAAAATAAAAAGAATTATACTTGTCCAGCGCCTCTTCCCGTAGAATACAAACCTTTGCTACCAGGTCTTATTTATTTCTGATACCTATATGACATACAAAGTCACTTAACTGAGCATGTAGTTCAATGGGCCATTTTCTTTTAACTGATGCCCAGACAAGAGTGCCTTGAAACAATACCAAAGACCTTTTGTGCAGTAGAACGGGAGGGGCATGCAAGATGTAGTTTTGGTGGCGATTACAAAGTAAGATAAGCTTGTGGGATAGGATTAATATGTATTAACATGAAACTGAAAAAAAATACTCTTAGAGATCATAAGGTCAAACAGATGCAGGCCTTTAATCCCAGCACTTGGGAGGCAGAGGTAGGTAGGCGGATCTCTGAGTTCAATGCCAGCCTGCTCTACAGAGCTAGTTCCAGGACAGGTTGCAACACCACAGAGAAACCCTGTCTCAAAAAACCAAAAAAAGATTCTTGGGCCACTAAAACTTACAAGTAGATCATATTGAATTTTTTTTTTATTTTTGATTTTGGTTGTCCTGTCAGCCAGCCTGCCTCAATCTCAAAGACATCCCGTCTGTGACTTCTGAGTACTAGGGTTAAAGGCATGGGCTGCCACAGCCCTCCGCACTTTGTTAAAACAGGAAAGCTTCATTCCTGGCCACAAAACCTAAGAATGACTCTTAACTGTTGAGGTTTTTTTGTATACTTACATAATACTATTAATTTCTATCTTGGGTAAAGATTTTCTTATTCCATTTCATCATACTTTACCTCTTGGTTATTATATGATTTTTTACATTGTTTTTATCATGTTTTTTTTTTTAAATTTATTTATTATGTATACAACTTTCTGCCTCCACACGCCAGAGGAGGGCGCCAGATCTCTTT